TTTTTAATTTTTTTAACCTTTCATTAAATTTTTTTTAATTTTTTGAGTGTACACTATGTAAATTATGTGAGGTTGTTTCACAGAATTAAATAGGCCCTCACTGTTTATATATTTAAACACCAGGTATCAAAATGCCTCTTAATAGTATTTTTTTGTTACGTTTTCATATTTTATGTTATTGTTTATATTTAATGTTATGTTATTTTAATAGTAATGTGCTTATGCCTCATTTCTGAATGTTTTGTTCCTCGCCACTGTCGCCACTGTCCTGGTTTGGGACTTGTGGAGCTGAGCATTGATAGAGTTGCTCTTCAGTTTTTGGACTTTCAGCAGTTAAAATTAAACTACACTGAAATGAACTAAACTGAATTTTAACTCTGAACACTGGGCTGAATAATTTACTAGAACTTTTTTGTTAAGCTGCTTTGACACAATCTACCTTGTAGAAATACTATAGAAATAAACATGAATTGAATTGAATTAAATATTTGAAGAGTTTAAATGCAAAAATCTCTAATTGCCATCTAAAATTTTCCTTTAAAATGAGCATTTTTATCAAGCTTCTGTGTGTAGATTTGGTAATATCACTTTTATGGCGGAGATTAAATTCTTTTCCTGATCTTTAAAGTTAAATATTTTAACATAAACAAAGGATGCTGAGAAAAATGTTCATTTTTGATGGAAAGGTTTTTGCATCTGAACTCTTCATTTATCATTATCATCAACCATTGCAACTGTACCTTTATGTAACATAAATATGAGAAATGTTTTGACAAAATGTAAGACAATTACATTACCATGTGTGGATAGAGGGTGGGGGGTGTCTATTATATTTATTAATGATTTATTTCATTTATTTATTTATTATTTTGCTAATTGTAAAAAACAAAAAAAGAAATGCCCTGATATTCTTTGTACACTTGCAATGACCTGAAGACATTCTTTGTCTGACACTCTAAACAAGACCTTTGAATCTAATTTCAGACCAGCTTAAACAGATTTATCAGTTGCTTAAAATGGCATATCATAGTGCACAAAAATGCAAACAAGATATCTGATAGGATTAGTTGCGTCCATCAAAATCTGCATTATCTTATTAAGATATATACACCTTCTTTTGTTTGCGGTCTAATTTTATTGATGGCTGGGTGTAGTAAACACAAGAGTATTCAAAGTTTTAACCCACCATAAAAAATCTTTAAATCCAATTTAAACCTGGAGAAAAATAGAAAGTTTGGTCATTTAAAAGAAAAAAAAATCTGTACTATATGGTTCTAATCAAATAAGCATGTTTGTGACATTGATGATGCTTTGCACAGACGGTCAGATGCTCTTCTCAGGAAGGCAAACTCTATTAAACTTTGCACGTAAAATTCTTCAGCCATTACTAATGGAGCGGACACTTCAATGAAATGATAAACCTCTTTAGCGACCCATTTATTTCCCAGCTACTACTGTATATCACAAGCAAAGATGTCCACACTCATTGCATTAATCCACTGCTGATCTGAGGCAGATTATAAACTCATTACTTCTCAAATGTCCTCTTCCCTCAATGTTTGCGATTATCTACTGAACAGTCTTACAATTTCCGCTATCGATACAATCTTCCCATCCACTTCTTCAAAGGCTAACCAGTTTTCCAGTCATTGTTCAGCAGACTGTTTCATTTACGAGAAATGTGAATGATTTGCTAGTGTGTATTACTCACTCTAACTATACAAGTGACCTGCAGAATGTCAATTCGGCTTGTTTTGTTCTGTTCGGCTTCAGCCAATGGAGTCAATAGAGTGGCTTGTGGATGGATAGAAGTACAGTATAAATGGAAGCTAAAACTAAGGTATTGACAGTGGCGAATCGAACTGCAGTGTTTGATACAGTAATTGCCTCTTAAGAACTCAGTCCGACAAGAGGGCGATAAACCCAAAGTTGGCCCCTCTTGCCTTTCTAAAAGCTTTTATGTGTTCTCAGTTCTACGCACCAATCTAATTGAAAGCAACATCAACTGCGCCTCATGCTCTTACAAAAACAGTAAATATGTCTGCCTAATTCCATCTCAGCAGGCTATTGATGTATTAAACGGGTGTTATAGAGATTATATGAAGTAGAGGATTTGAAACTAATGGTCTTTTGGATGAATTCAGATATTGATAATTGTATAGGCATTGTAGTGCCTCTGTTATGCAAATTTAAGGTTCCTAATTTTTGGTTTTAAAGGCGAGTGCAATGTTTGCATTCATTCAATGTCAAAACACATTCTCATAATGTGTATTTGAGCATTATTATTTCATAGTTTATTTCATTCAAGGATTATACAACCCATTGGCTTTAATTCTTTAGTTGTTTTGGTTTATGGAAATAATACTGAATAAACAATCAGTTTTTCATTTTCTCACAGATTTTAAAATGAAAAATAAAAATGCATGGTTATAGCCAGTGTGGGATGCATATACAAAGTAACGTTGCTGTAATTAAAATGTGTTTCTACTGAAAAATTAAAGGGTTGACGTTCCATTTTTAGTTTTTTTAAATGCTAGTTTCAGTCTGTTAGTTTTAAGGATATCAATTAGCTAGTGTGCACCAAAACAGTGACAATTTGCATTTATTCATTCATTTTCTTGTCAGCTTAGTCCCTTTATCAATCCGGGGTCGCCACTGCTGAACGAACTGCCAACTTATCCAGCATGTTTTTACGCAGCAGATGCCCTTCCAGTCACAACCCATCTCTGGGAAACATCCACAAACACTCACTCACACACACTCATACACTACAGACAACTTAGCCTACCCAATTCACCTGTACTGCATGTCTTTGGACTGTGGGGGAAACCAGAGCACACGGATTAAACCCACACAAACACAGGGAGAACATGCAAACTCCACACAGAAACGCCAACTAAGCCGAGGATCGAACCAGCGACCTTCTTGCTGTGAGGCAACAGCACTACCAACTGCGCCACTGTTTCGCCCAATTTGCATGTATAAAAAATATAAAACTGATATAAACATGCAAAGCTTGCAGATTGTCACTTTTGCCTAAATGGATCAACATTTTTTTCTGTCAACTCATACTTGTTTCTCATCAAATCTTGATCAATCAAATTCTTTGTAGTATTTAACATATCTCGCCACCTACAAGATGATCTTGTTTGCTCATTTAATGCGCTTGATCTCAATCACTCTCACTGGCAGAGCAGTGATAAAAACAAAACGCTATTGTCTGTTTTTTAAAAGGGAGGAGCTATGTCCCGTCCTGCCCTCATTTTTAAGTTGAGATCACGCCAAACCTATAATAAAAAAATCCACATTTCAAAGCACTTCACGGGACCTTAAATTACAGTTACTTAAAATATACACTCAAAAAATGATTCTGCTGCTTGTTCAAACTACTTATGTAAACTGAGCTGAAAACAATGCAATACTTGAGAGTTTTTGCAGAACAACTTAATTATTATTTTTTTTAAACAAAACGTTAAAATCCGCTTAAATTTGTTAAGTTATCTTAATTGGTTTGTGTTGGGAAAACCTGAATGAATTGTGTACAACCCTGCATTTTATTACAGTGTATTCGCCTAAAACACTGTTCATAAACTGTCAGAGAATTGTAAATATACTGGTATACAAATAATTGAAGAAGCTTTTCAACTTAAGAAAGTTAAATTCAGCAGATAGTTACACATTTTTAGAAACAATGAATTGAGTCTGAAATTAATGTATCTTATGTATATGAAATATGGTGTCATCATTACATTAAAACATTCTGTGTTTTGATGTTTAAGCTAACCTAAATGTTATTTATTTTAATGAAGCTAAAATACCCTGTAAAATTGAAAGAAGTTTAAGAGTTTAATTTGTAGTCTGTATTTTTTGAGATTCAAAATATTACATTATCTGTGTGTTCAAACTACTTATATAAAAGGAGGTGAATCAACACAATTCTTGATGTTTTTTCTTTCTTTCTACAAGATAATCATTTTCTGTTCAATCCACTTTATTTGTAAAAACAATAAGTTGACTTAATTGCTTCATGTTATCCTAACACAAATTGATTGTGTGGAACCCAGCATTTTTGCAGTCTATTGTAAGTAGTATTGACTCAAGTAAATTAATTACTTATTGAGTAATTAAGTCACTTTTCAGACAAGGACATTAGAAAGTAATATAAATACAATCTTAACCCAACACTATTTCTTGTAGAAGCTTTTGATTGTTTTGTGTCTAAGCACGGATTTTGTATAACTGAAGCACTATAATTATTATTTTTGCATATTGTTAAGTGACAATATTATGTTTTAGTCAGTGATTGTTACTTAATTTAAAAATTATTTTTTTTAAAAACTAAATTCTAGGTTTGTGCAGGATGTAAGACTTACTAATAATTACTGAAGACTTATTTTGAGACACAATAACTCATTTTTATCATTTAATTTTATCTCATACTTTGATCTTTAAAACTTTGCTGAAAAAAAAAAATTATGATGAATTAGTCCTAACCGCATATGTTTTTAGGTTAACAGCAGTTGTTTAGGTTAATCTAACTAAGTTGTTGTAACTTAATTTATAAGTTACGCAAGCTGTTTTAAGTGAGTTTAACATAATATAAATTCAATGGACTAATAAGCATAAAGGGCTCACACACTGTATGGAAGTTAATATAAAAAAGCTTATTTTCTCATTCTTTTCTTTGGTCTGGTTAAGTTTATTTTGTTTTGGAAGTAAATGACAACCAGTCTCTTACATTTTTCAAAATATTTACATTATTATATTTACATTTTTAAAAAATATATTTTTTTTGTTCAAACAAAAGAACGGAAAAAAAAACTCAAACAGGTTTGTGACAAGTCAAGGTCGAGTAAATGGTGGATTAAATAAAGAAAGAACTTTCAGTTTTGTTTTCAGTTTTCATTCTCTGATTTCCTTGTCCTTTACTGTGTAAATGTCGTACACGGTCCTCATCTGTAATCATCTCCTGACATTTTCTTCTTGCACTGTTCCCACAGGTGGCGATGGTGCAAGATGTTCGACATCCTTTCCCGACTGTAGATGTTCCAGATCATGCTCATTACACCATCGGCTCTGTCATTCTGGCGGTGGGCATCACCGGCATGGTGGGAAACCTTTTGGTCATGTATGCCTTCTGCAAGTGAGTCCTGATGTACAGCATCTTTTTTTTTTAGCTTATCTGCTCATTTAGGGACAGATTTTCAGAGGCCTTTTGTCATCCAGTGATGGGAATAACCTGTCACTAATATAATTACTACAGTATCTTTAGTAATGTAGTGTGTTTTTGTTACATTTGCTACACTGTAAAAAATAAATCCGTTAAATTTACGGTAAAAAAATGGCAGCTGTGTTTGCCAGTACTTAACCGTAAAAAACATGGTACAATCCGTAAAAGTAATTTCTCATTTTTACGGTAAACTACCGTCTTTTATTAATTTATAGAGGTAATATGTCTGTATTTTGAATGACCAACATCTACACATCTTTTGTTACACAGTTAGACACGTTTGCACATCCATATGCAGGAGGTGATGAGGAAGTTACATAATGAGCCAGTTCTCATCACAATCAACTTTTCCCACAAACAGAAATGAGTATCAGCATATAGAAGGTGCTCAGTGTCATTCACACAGCAACTAAACACTAGTGTGGTAACACGCATAAAACTATGTTGTATAATAAGTCATGAAAAAAAAAGTCATGAAATAAACATTGTTTATCAACATTAGATGTAACATAAATCTCTAATGTACATAACTGATGGGGAAACTACTAAAAAGTTTCATATTAATGTCAACAAAATGCAAAAAAAAAAAAAGTGATGTGCCATGCAGGGAATTCTGGGAAAGTAAATTTATGGTTATTCGTCTTTTATATTAAGGAAACATACCATTAACCAGGTTACGGATTTGTACTGTAGCATTTTTACAGTTTTTTTTCTGTTGAAATCACGGCCATTTTTTACAGTCTAGGAAGCATAATTTATTTTTAGACTTATTTGTTGGCCAGTGGTTGTGTGTGCAATATTAAAAGTTCTGAACCATCTATTTTGTGTTATTGCTCCACTATAGAAATGACAATACTTACAGTAAAATATTACATTTGATATGTGTCTCTCACATTGTCCCACAGCAACGTAGATAAAATATAGAATAGTATACAATGTTTTATAATATTAATTCTTGCAATTTAATATTTGGGCATCCAAGTTTTTTGACATAGACCTAACACAATAGATATGTTCACTCGTATTATTATTATTGTAATTATTTTTATTAATATTGTTATTATTAGTACTGCTCATTACTTTTTTATATTTATTGCTCAACTTACTGCATAAGCTATTTATAAGTTTTTCTTTAGGAGATAATATATGGGAGAAAAGTATTAAAGTCAATTAGAAATTCAATTTTATTTAGGTTTCCAGTACTCATTTTTTTTAGTACTAGGTATAAGTATTTTGTTTATTAGTATGCGTACCATTATTTAACACCTCAGGAAGCATGCCCTAATCCATTTTGTGCTTGATATACTGTGATATTTAAAAAATGCAGTTGGAGAGTTTTCTCCGTTGGGGTTCAATTGTTTGGAATAGCAGAAGACGATGATCAACATAACAATTACCAAGCCGTATTATTTCTCTGATCTTGGTAGATTGTTTTGGTCATTATGCAAATGAGCTGCTGTGTCTGTTAGTTATCTGACACATGTGGAACTTTGTATGGGATTGTGGTTTCATGCTAATTTGCTCTGTTTAGTAAATCTGACCCCTAGTGAAAGGTGTGCACCTCAAAGCATGTTTAAAAAATATTATGATTTATGGCTTATTCAAAACACGCATAACCACACCATAACAAAGACAACCAATCAGGGTGTGTTTCTAAAATCCATCATTAGCCAACTAAGGTTGCAAGTTGTGTTGTTACAAACATAGTTCGTTGATTTGCCTTTTCCCAAATCCGTCATTCCAACAAACGTTCGCAAACTGAGTCACAAACTTCTATGATTGCAACTACACCTCTGGAGCTGTAGTTAGAAACATAGTTCCTGGCTGTGTTCTATTTCTAGTGGCTCGTTTGCACTGACTGGTACAGTACGGTACGGCTCGGGTCGGTACGGGTCACCTTTATCAGGCTTGCGTTTCCACTACCAAGGGTACCCTTTTGGTGGGCGTGGTGTATGACAAAGTTTCAGTCGACATCATTTTCACTCGAGAATATGTCTACAATAAAGCTGCACAGGTCGCTCACATACAGTATCATATGAAAAGCACTTCTCAAAAAACAGATGCTTTACACACATAAATACTTGTGCATAAATGTTTATTACTAACTTTTCTATGAACATGAGTTGATTATAACTGCATATCAATGACGGTGCGAATTAGCCACACTGTAACATCTGTAATTATATTAAATAAATAAATAAATGAACATATATGAACACATACAGACCCTTACAGTCTCTGATATGTTACCAACTACAGAAGAACTGTACACTGGGTAAATCTGCTCTTCTCCATGGCTTTGTGGCTGTTTATCAAGACAACGACAGGGTTTGTTTGAGCCCGGATCGACCATGGTTGCATATATATATATATATAATTCCGCTGTAATCTCTTGCTGTGTATTTCAAACATGGCGGGTCCTTTGTTTACTTTCTGGCTTGTTGAGTCTACGAATGACGTATCTCTGTAAACCAATAGCTTTCAACTGCGCGTGTAGCTCCACCTTTTGGGACCCTTTCTGCAGTTTGAGACCCTTTCGAAAGGGTGCCGAAAAAGTGGTGAGGTACGGTTTGGTTCGGTACGCCTTTTGACAGTGGAAACGGCCATAAAAGCGTACCAAACCAAACCGTACCGTACTGTACCATTCAGTGGAAACGGGCCATAGTTATCCCATCTATGCCCTAATTATTTAGAACATTCTAAAATTTACACTTGGAATGAATTTTTAAAAAAAGTATTAAAGTCATAACTCTTTGATCTAATTTGCTTTCAAAGTTTTTGTACAGTTCAGTTTTAGTGATCTTCATGTTTACAATTGTGCTCCTTTCGCAGTGCACTTTGAAAACATCGATGTCATTAGGAACACAATCGTGGTGGATAGCTATAGGTGACCTATTATTTAAAAGCAGAATTTTAAAAGCTTGTGAAAACATCATCATAATATTATTACTATTGTTAATAAAGTATGCTTTTTCATTTCCTAATAATTAATAAATATTACATTTAATTTCCTAATAAAATACAAGTTTTTATCAAAACTAATAATGGATTTTTTTAAAACCTTGTAAAACAATATAATTTGCACAAAGAAATTATGGGTTATTTCTCTAAAGAAGTTGTTACCACCCCATTTAGAGCATCATTTTGGATGGTTTACGTTATAACTATAGTGGTTTAAACGATGTATCTGCAACAGAACTCTTGCGCAAAACTGGAACAACGCATAAAACATTTGTGCCATTTCCAGTCATTTGAGTCAAAGAGATCAAAATTCACTTCTGGATACATTGGTGCAAAATATCATAAGAAAAGTCACTGCAGGCCTTATTTATTAAATATTAAATTACCTGCGTTTTTGGAGGTGTGAGAGCAGTCTTTGGGAGCGCAGCTGCTCATAACCGAACCACTTTGATGATAGACTTTGGCTGAGGGATTTTAGAATGACCAAAACTTCATCCATCTACAAAAATTCAACAATTCAATATGGTGTGTCCGCTGGTATGTCCATTAATGCTGTCCCATCTTGCCCTTTTTTGTTTTCATTTTGTTTGTTTGTTATAGTTTATTAAAAAATAAGCTTTCATGTCTTTTCAGATGTGCATGCTGAATTTATTTATTTATGAATTGATTTATTCTTTAAACGTGTTTCCTTTGTACTTCATGCACATTTTTCTAATTCGATAAAAAGTTTATTCTACTTAGTTGTGAACATAAGTTATTATGTGCAATATCAGAAATGTATGAGCAACTTAGCATTTCCATTAAGTATTTTTTTCTAGATTTTCTAAAATGTTCATAAAAATAGGTGGATGGAAATATACTGATAAACCAACGCAATTCGTAACTTTTTGATTTAGTGGTTAATTCGTATGAATTCGTACGATCTAATTTGTACAATTTAGTATGATTTGCTTATTACTTAATGAATTTTGGGGTTAGGGGTTGGGTACCATGCCTCCTTTTTAAAATCGCACATTTTCGTACGACTGAACTTGTGAGAATTCATACGAATTAGTCACTAAACTGACAAAATGTAAAATATTTACATTTCCTTGTGAGATCAGGCTGGATAAACTGATGTTCTCTTTTTTAAATTCAGAACTTTATAATTTGTCTTTTGTTTTGTTTATGTTTTCAGGAGCCGGAGTTTGAGAACACCTGCCAACATGTTCATCATCAATCTTGCTGTCACTGATTTCCTGATGTGTGTCACTCAAACACCAATCTTCTTCACCACCAGTTTGCACAAGCGATGGATCTTTGGAGAAAAAGGTAATCCAGCTGTTAGAAAATCACGACTTGATAAAACAAATCTTTTGAAGGCATTCAAGATTTCTTGTACAGATGTTAAGAAAGAGCTGGACGTCAGGGGAACTGCATTTTTTTTTTATAGCAGATTATCTTCATGATTCACCGATTGTAGTACAGATGAGAGGAAAGTACAGAACAGATAATGCTAGAGGATCACATTTGGAGAGGGATTATTCATTGATGCATAACTGCATCCTGGTCAAGGAGAAGAAACACCTCAGTGTCCTCAGAGGTCATAGCGGAAGAATCAGTGTTTTGATGACAATGCAAAGAGGCTTCTTTAAATCAACCATCATTATGTGCAATGGAAATGTTTTTGGTACATCAAGCAGAACGAACATAATTGGGGATACATTTATCAGTCTTTTTTCAGGGTGTTATTATTGAGGAGAATAACTGTGGTAATTATGTTTTCATCATCCTAGAACAACAATAAACATAAATATATTAAAAACAAATATTTTTAGGAAAAGCACATATTATTACTTGTTTATCAACTTTTTTTCTGCAATTAAGACATTTAATTTGGTCAGTTGAGTGTGCCTTTTGATTTGTCTAATGAATCTTTCTCTCTCTCTCTCTAATTCAATTAAAATTAAATTAAACTTGCTTTATTGGCGTGACAAATGGATTGCCAACGAATTTGCAATGTTTACATTAAATTGAACATACTGTATAAAACAAATGATATATAGTAGTGATAAAAAAATAAAATAAAAATAATACAAATATATATATATTTGTATTATTATATATGTATGTTACACCCTATATATATATATATATATATATATATATATATATATATATATATAGGGTGTAACAGTTCAAAAAAATGCAAGTTGTTAGGTTAGGTTTGATACGACACAGTGGTGCCACGGTTCGGTACGTTTTCGATGCAGCACAAAAAGAAAAAAGCCAGAGGATTATAAAAGTATGATCTTGTTTTTTTTTTCTTTTACTTTAAACAGTGATAGAGCTATACTTCTGGGGTTTCTGCTTAGGTTTGTTGCAGATCCGGTTTCTTCTTTATACTCAAAACCAAAAAGCTTCCGATAAAAAATAAATGTAATATGTAGTAGTTAAACAAGTAAAAAGAAAAGAACAATTTAGTTTTTATATGGAACTCAGACTCAATCAATTTTTAAATATTGTTTTATTTGTTTTTGACGGTCACCTGATTTAGTGGATATGAAAGCAGGAATTATCTGACTGAAATGGGCTTATCAAGTAATAATGTAACCGGGCTCTATAACATTTAACATTTTTTTGAAACCTGAAATTTCCACTACCGTTTAAGGTCTCTCATATCCACAGCTATAAATGTACTGATCGCCTCGGCCTTGTTTTGAATGAAAGTCATTAGAATCAACAGCAAATCAGCAGAGTATCAATAACGGGCTTTTATTGGTCATTTTTGTAAATTACATGACTTATACCTGTTAAGTTTTGTGCCATTGCTCTATAATGCAGTGAAGTATTGGGCGCGTGTGTGTGGGGGAAACTATATTTCTGACGGCAGACACGTGAACTAGGAGAAAGTTTTCCTCTCGTGCTTGAACTACATCTGACTGTTCATAACGGCTTTAACACACACTTTTCAAAGATGAAAACACTACGTAATCCACTCAAAACTCTATTGAATACCATTTTCGGAGTGCAAATTTTCAGTTGTAAACGCTGTAAATCGAAGTTCTAAACATTCTACCTGAAGACGCTGGTCGCTATGGCACCATCCATGCAGCTGCCAAGAAAAAGGTTTGTAGGAGGATGACATTAACTAGCCATTTTGCGAACTAGTACAATGTGTGCCTGACAGGAGTTGTGTTTGGAGGTGGGCGGGTGTGTGCGGTGATATGTGAACAGGTAGGTTATTGAGATTGGCTGTTCTGGGGTCGAGGGTTGCTGGGACAACAGGGGCGGAGCTAGCACGAGTAGGCTGACAGTGACACAGAAGGCAGCAAGATTGCGTGCATGTTTAATAAAGTGATATACTGAGTTCAAAAGCGATGTTCTACTGTTTAACATGACAGCGGGGACGGCAGCATGTTGTCTGCCACGTCATTTAGGATACCATGTTGAGCGTTGTTGCACTGAAAACATTATATTTTGTATTTCTTCTCTTTTATTTTTTTAGATATTAGTCTAAATCGAATCGTTCGGTTTGCAATGCGTACCGAACCGAAAGTCTCGTACCGAACGGTTCAATACGAATACGCATATCGTTACACCAACAATATATACATATATATATATATATATATATATATATATATATATATATATATATATATATATATATATATATACATAAACGGAGAGAGGATTTTTTAACACATATCTAAAAAAGTTAAACGCACAAGTTGTTTGTGTCTGCAGTGTGTGCATGTGAACTTTGTAATGATATTCTGTGTGACTCATCATTGTAACTTCACAACAAATACATCAAACATTAATCAGCTTACTGTAGTGTTTCTCACAAAAGCTTAATGAGATCTGCTTCCTTGATGTCTGTCACTGTGCTGTTTATTTAACGCACACGGGCAGAGATTGAGGCACACTCTGACAGGCACGTGGGAAAGGTGGGTTGGGAGAACTAGCATTAAAGGCACAGCCAACAAAACAGCTACAATGTGTTCAGAGCAAAAAATTCCAATATTTTGAAAGGTATAATAAATAATCTGATGGGTGTTTTAAGCTGAAACTTAGACATTCTGGAGAACAGAAAACCTATCCTAAAACTTGAAAAAGAGTTAAAATAGATACCCTTTAATGATAATGAGTACAATTTGCTTAATAAATAGCACATAAAACATTTTTGGAATTGCACATGTGCCTTAATGTTCCTTTACTTATTCATAAACAACTTTGAGGGAATAAAAAATGTAATTTCCTCAAATGGCTTGTTTATCTGCACGTTTATATCTATGTATTTTTATTCATTCTTAATTTTAGTACATGAAGATAATTTGATGCCATATTTCCTTGTCAACTACAATAAAAAAATATTGTTTTACTTGTTCAAACTACTTATTTAAAATAAGCTGAAACAACACAATTCTTAAAATTTCATTGGAACAACTTATTTTTTTATGTTCAATCCACATAAGTTTGCTAAAAGTGTTAAGTAAACTTAATCGATTTGGGTTGGAAAATATGAATGAACTGTGTGGAATTCTGCATTTTTTTTACAGTGTAACTGACATCAAATGAGTTGAAATATTTTTAAATATTTAATTTCACTTGATTTTTAAATATATATATATTTTATTTTGTTGATAACAATAGTATTTTGTGTTGATTGATCAAAAATGCAATGTTCTATTGTAATAACAAATCTACTTCACATTTGTTCTAAAAACCAGAGGTGAATTAGCATAGTTGAGACATTTTCTCTTCATGGCTTTCTAGAATAGCAGTAAATGCTCCATGACTCAACAGCTCCATGCAAATGCATTAAATTACAAATGTGATCTCTCATTCAATGAAGCTCTCCTAAACATATCACTCTGCTTTGAATTTTGATATCAGTCAAAAAAATAAAACAATTCCTGGAAGCACAACATTGACATGATTATACATGTTCATCTGGTGAGCAGAAGCAAATGTGGGATAATGGGTTGCTCTAATGTTAGGCTTTCGAATAATGGCAGTAATGAAACAGAAAATGCAGGTTGACCGAGGTTGCCTGGGATCACTGATGGTCTTGTTTAGTTTTCAGACCTTTTAAGCACTTGTTCTTTGAAGTGAAGTAGTTGCTGTATGGTTGATGAGGTGGAATGAGCTCAGTTAAACTCTCTCGAGTCTCTCGTCCACCTGAGGTTTTTGAGAGAGATCTGATGTTCAATAAAACACTCTCAAACTGCTGTAGAAGAATGAGAAAGTGGCATCCTTTCTTTCTTTCACTCATTTATTTATTGTTATATGAATCAATGATGTCTTAAGGCAAGACACTGCAGGCAAAGACAAAGTTTTTTTTCCATTTGACTGTCAGTTTTGAATTTTTTTACTTTTTTTCAACTTTTCGTATATACTGTATATGTATACAGTTAGGTCCATAAATATTTGCACATCGACACAATTCTAAGAATTTTTGCTCTATACAACAACACAATAAATCTGAAATAAAACAAACTAGATGTACTTTAAATGCTTTAACTTACATCCAAATAAGGTGACTGTTGTAGGAATTACAACAGTTTGCATCTGTGTCTCCCACTTGTTAAGGGTCCAAAAGTAATGGAACAGAATAATAATCATAAATCAAACTTTCAGATTTTATTACTTGGTTGCAAATTCATTGCAGTCAAATACTGCTTAAAGTCTGGAACATGTAGACATCACCAGACGCTGGGTTCAATTTTTTGTGGTGCTGGCTGTATTTGTACTCTTGTTGCTGGCTGTATTTGGGCAGAGTAATACACAAAGGGTAAAGAGGCTGTACGGATGCTGATATTACTTAAATATATCACAGCTATCAGCCAATTAGATTCAAGATCCAGACAGAACTGTATAACCCAAAATATAGATATGTGTTGATTTTGTCATTCTTTATCAATTTGTATCAGTAGATTTTAACAACAGTGCAGTACTTTATTACAGTAACAGCATTTACAGTAACAGTATTTTAAAGTCAGTTTTCTCAAAATGAGTTTTTTATCCTGCACCAAACTTTAGTTTAATTTATATGTGTATTCTATTTTTTTTACAGGTGGAAAGTGTGTTGGTATTTACTTCTTTCTATTTTTTTGTACTAAATTACTTAAATATTTTTTGATCTTTTAAATGATAAAAAAATATTCCAAATATAGCATTTATTCAATTTAATTATTGTTTATTTAAAATTAAATTAATTTAAATTAAATTAAATTAAATTAAATTTGCAGTTTCTTAAAGGAGTGGTCAGTCAGCTGTTTTCAAATGTTTAATTATGTTTATGGGCATTCATTGAAACAACCCAG